AGAATAGTAGAATAGTAGAATAGTAGAATAGTAGAATAGTAGAATAGTAGAATAGTAGAATAATAGAATAATAGAATAGTAGAATAGTAGAATTGTAGAATAGTAGAATAGTAGAATAGTAGAATAGTAGAATAGTAGAATAGTAGAATAGTAGAGTAGTCGAAATATTTACAAAATATGAACGAAATATTGATAAATATTGATAAATAATGACGAAATATTGATAAATAATGACGAAATATTGATAAATAATGACGAAATATTAATTAAATATTGATAAATAAATCTGCCAGACTTCAGGTTCCAGAATAATTGATGAGATATAAAGGTTTAAACATTGAAGAGTTAATGCCAACATCTTTTATATTTTATAAGCATTATCTGCTTTCTAGAAATGATGTAGTATTTAGTTTAGATCTATTTAATAAAGGGAGAGTTCGCAATTTATAAAACTTTTCTTCGACAGTTAATTTAAGAGATTGTCGACGTAGTTTTTGGCACATTCTAATTCAGAAAATAAAACAACCAAATGAACTCTGTGGTTTTCAAGTGTTTGTCACGAAAACGATGGCTTATTTTTATACGTTAAAACCCCTAAAAGGTTCACGGATTGACTGTCTTGAATGAAGGATTCCAATCTTTGTTTCCTAAATTACGAACCTCTTTTTTGTGTGGCCCTGTCTCTTTAATGAATTGAGTCTGTGCCACAAACTCAAATTTTCTGATGGCGTAAATCTTTGATATTTCATACTTTTATTAGTTTATTTAACACAATTCATAGTTTAAGATATCAAAGTTCATACGCCTTTGGGTTGCAAAGATATCGAAAAAAGAAAATCAGAATTTTTGGCAAAAACGCAGTTCCTTTATACCTTTTTTATCACGTACATGAAACAAATTATGTAAGATAAATGCAACTAGCAAATTTTTTTGATTAGTGTCTTATTTTTCAAAAGGAAAACCAAATAATATTGTGTGATTCATTTCTTATATGTTTAGAATCTGAACGTGGTGAGAAGAGTGTATGCATTCAACTTGAGGATATTGAATGTGAACTCGTCTTCATTGATCGACCTAGGACTGAAATATCAGTGAGTTCATTTCTTATCAGAGTTAGGACGGATATATTTTATTAGAGAAAAGAGATAGGACGGATATATTGTATTAGAGAAAAGAAATAGGACGGATATATTAGAGAAAAGAGATAGGACGGATATATTATATTAGAGAAAAGAGATAGGACGGATATATTAGAGAAAAGATATAGGACGGATATATTATATTAGAGAAAAGAGATAGGACGGATATATTATATTAGAGAAAAGAGATAGGACGGATATATTGTATTAGAGAAAAGAGATAGGACAGATATATTATATTAGAGAAAAGAGATAGGACGGATATATTAGAGAAAAGAGATAGGACGGATATATTATATTAGAGAAAAGAGATAGATGGATACATTATAGAATAGGAAGAAGAGATAGAACAGATATTAGAGAGTAGGCATTATTAAAATTAAGTTGAAAAAATAATTAAGACAGCCAAGAGCTATTTTTAACCTAATTGCTTTATACTTGTACTGTTAAAATAACCATCAATTTGTAATTGTAAACTCGTTCTCTATACAAATACATGTATATTAGCAATAAACTTTATCTTATCTTATCTTATTTCTCAACGTGAAAGAAAAACTTAAATAGTTAAGATGTATTGACTCAATGCTGAAGAACGGAAGAGAGATAGCATAATGTTTGAATAGGGAAAGATATATCGAAGATGAAGAACAGGATATCAGAGTAAATCTATATATTAGATTTTCTTTTTCCAATAATTCTATTTATAAATTGGGCCGTGATGAAGCATTATCTCATGGAATAAAATTAGAATGGTAGAAGTTAGATGGTAGATGGTAGACAGTAGATGGTAGATGGTAGACTTCTTCTTATAAAATTTAATTAATACACACAATGCTGTATGCTTTACGTTATCATCAGTAGTATCTATGTTTATATATATCTCTAGGCTGAGAATCTATTGAGCTCGTATTCTGCAGACTGTGCTGTAGTAGTGTTCAGTGTAACGGATGATGGAAGCCTGCAGGAAGCTAGAGAAGTATTAAATATTCTCTGGCAGTCTGGTAGTTTAGCGTCTAGAGCTGTTATTCTGGTTGGAAATAAAACAGATCTAGTTAGAACAAGAACTGTTCCTATTGACGGTAGGTTTTTAAATATGATTAATATATAATTTTGCAATTAAATATTTTTTGTGCAGGGGGGGGGATATTAAGGAGTGAAGTATGGGGAGGAGGGATTTAAGGAAATGGAGTCCTTTTTGCTATTTTTCAAGACTGGATACTTGTACAGATTTAAGTATGAGATTTTTAGAATTAATTGGCAAAATTTTGCGCGAGGTCTTGCACCTTTGGATCAATGTGATGGGTTGATTGGTTGATATTATGCAGTGGAGGAGGGGGGGGGGGGGTGTTGTCGAATAAAGTTGATGGCGGATTAACGGAGGGGAGGGGGTATTTTAGAGGAAATTAATAAAATAAGTGTTCTCCTGGAATTCAAATATTAGTTTTAAATTTAGATATGATACACAGTTTAGTACAGAAAAGATTTCATGTCAGTAACTTTTAATCTTGTTCACAATAGTTACCCACATTGAACAATGAATATTACCTTTTGACCTATCTGCGTAATATTTTATCTATGATTATTCATCAAAATATTTTGTCAAAAACATGCACATACCTTAAAATAGATAGAAAATCATTATTAATTTAATTATTTAAAGGGACTGTACGCGTGATTTTAAGGGATTTTCAATTTAAAGAGCGACATCCCCTATTCCCAACAGTACCTTGAACCCTCTAAACATTTAACTGATCACCGAGTTAAGATGCGTCACATTTATTCATGGAATAAAATTTACGTCCATCGCGGTTTTGAAAAATTCTGCCACTTCTAGGAAATTTAAATTAATATTTTTTCACATAAAGCAGCTCGCGACAATATTGAAAAGTCTGCCATCAGTTTTCAGTGGAAGGTTTATAGGGTTTAGTGTTGAATCGGGAATGGTCCTCTTTAAATGGAAGGTCAGTTTAAATTAAGCTTACAGTCCCTTTAAATTTGAAATCTTTAGTTTGAAATAGGGGTTGATTGAAGTGAAGGCAATTGTTCATTTTTTAAAGCATATTTATACACAAGGACGAACACAGGATTAAGTGAGGGGGGTGCTAGATTTATTTCGAAACAAATCCAGATTTAGGAACCAAAACCGCAGGGGAAATTTTTTTTTGATTTAAATTAAAAGACTCAAAAAGAGTCAAAATTAATGACCAAAGACTAAAAAACTCGATTTTTAACTTATCACACATTTATTGAGATAGATTTTTTTCCTGTTTTGCATTAGGTTTTCTTTCCCTTAAGTGTTATTAAAAAGCTATTCTGAAAATAAGAACAAAAAATTCCAAAAATAGAATCAAAAACATCAAGCGCATTTTTATCTTTTTCTGAAAAAAAATCACTAATTTGACTAGTAAATAATCAAATTGATCAAATTGGTAACAAATTGGCCTCGAATTCTCAGGGGGTGCAAAGGTCCTGCCCCCCCCCTGTATTTGCCCCAGTTTTTTTACAAGATTTTAGCAATTCTTGAAATATTTTGTATTTGCGGCTTGATACTTTGAAAAGGTTGTTTACCCCATTATATTTGATCTGAAAGTTCCTGCTCCAGAGAAAAATGCATCTGCTTTTATTAGGCAAACTTTATATTATTCTTTCTTATTAAAAATCCTAAAACAAAATTCTAAGTTTATATTTAAGTTTGAAATCGGATGAAGATTTGCAAATACAAAATATTAGATATTGTATTGTCAGACTGCCCTAGGAAAAACAGGAGGGGGGGTGGGGGTCTGAAAGAAAAAAAAGATTTATTTGGAAACTGATTTTGTTATTTTATTGCACGGAAAGGCGAGAGGGAGGGGAGGGGATGTCAAATATGATATTTGACGAACTCATTCATTTCCTTTAAATTTGTCAATGATTTTTGATGAATAAATAACTCATTCGTTATTGGAAGGAATTGCCACAAACTGAAATTTTATAATCCCTATATCTAAGGAACATGATGGTGTAAATCTTTGATATTTCAAAGTTAGATTATTAGATAACAGAATTCATAGTTTTAAATATATAAGGTCTCGACATTGGGTTGTAGAGATTGGGGGATTAGAAAGTCAAACTTTGTGGCAAAGACTCAATTCCTTTGTCGATGATTTTTGATGAATAATGAGTCATAACCCTATACATTTGCAACCTGATTATGTAAACCTTTAATATTTGAAACGTAGATTATTTGATCTAACAGACTTCTTGGTTTAAATATTTAAGGTCTCGACATTGAGCTGGAAAAATATTAAGATTAGAAAATTGGAGTCTGTGGCAAATACTTGTCAATGATTTTTGATTAATGACATTAACCATTGAAAGGAATTGTTTTTAAATTTCCAGAAATTTCTTTCTTACAAAAGTGACAAATTTTGCAACTGCATGTTTTTCTGCTGACATTAAGAATATATCTTGATTCTCAACTAGTTTCATCATTCTTCTTAAAAAATAAAATAAAATAAAAATTTTGTGTTTATGAATTGAAACTAAAAAAATTTCCAATCAAATAAAATAATAAAAAATTTGAGTGTTTTGTTACTTGTACCCACTACGTTCCTATCTCTCAAGTTATATGTTTTGTACCCACTACGTTCCTATCTCTCAAGTTATATGTTTTGTACCAACTACGTTCCTATCTCTCAAGTTTTATGTTTTGTACCCACTACGTTCCTATCTTTCAAGTTATATGTTCTGTACCCACTACGTTCCTATCTCTCAAGTTATATGTTTTGTCCTATCTCTCAAGTTATATGTTCTGTACCCACTACGTTCTCCCACTACGTTCCTATCACGCAAGTAATATGTTTTGTACCCACTACGTTCCTATCTCTCAAGTTATATGTTCTGTACCCACTACGTTCCTATCTCTCAAATTATATGTTGTGAACCCACTACGTTCCTGTCTCTCAAGTTATATGTTTTGTACCCACTACGTTCCTATCTCTCAAGTTATATGTTCTGTACCCACTACGTTCCTAACTCTCAAATTATATGTTTTGTACCCACTACGTTCCTGTCTCTCAAGTTATATGTTCTGTACCCACTACGTTCCTGTCTCTCACGTTATATGTTTTGTACCCACTACGTTCCTATCTCTCAAGTTATATGTTTTGTACCCACTACGTTCCTATCTCTCAAGTTATATGTTTTGTACCCACTAAGTTCCTATCTCTCAAGTTATATGTTCTGTACCCACTATGTTCCTATCTCTCAAGTTATATGTTTTGTCCTATCTCTCAAGTTATATGTTCTGTACCCACTACGTTCCTATCTCTCAAGTTATATGTTTTGTACCCACTACGTTCCTATCTCTCAAGTTATATGTTTTGTACCCACTACGTTCCTATCTTTCAAGTTATATGTTCTGTACCCACTACGTTCCTATCTCTCAAGTTATATGTTTTGTCCTATCTCTCAAGTTATATGTTCTGTACCCACTACGTTCCTATCTCTCAAGTTATATGTTTTGTACCCACTACGTTCCTATCACGCAAGTAATATGTTTTGTACCCACTACGTTCCCAAGTTATATGTTCTGTACCCACTACGTTCCTATCTCTCAAGTTATATGGTCTGTACCCACTACGTTCCTATCTCGCAAATTATATGTTCTGTACCCACTACGTTCCTATATCTCAAGTTATATGTTCTGTACCCACTACGTTCCTATCTCTCAAGTTATATGTTCTGTACCCACTACGTTCCTATCTCTCAAGTTATATGTTCTGTACCCACTACGTTCCTATCTCTCAATTTATATGTTTTGTACCTACTACGTTCCTATCTCTCAAGTTATATGTTCTGTACCCACTACGTTCTTATCTCTCAAGTAATAAGTTTATTTATCAAATGGAATTTCACAACAAAACCAAAAACTAAATTGAATTTCCTCGGAAATGAAATCAGGAGATAAAAGCATCTTTGACACCTAACCCAACAAAAGAAAAAAATAGAAAAGATTTGATATCTTATGTATTTTTTATTTTTCAGAAGCTCGGTCTATTGCCTCCAGCCATGATTGTAAATATTGTGAAGTAAGTATATTTAAGAACTATTTCTTTTTTTAAATAGATAAGATAACAACACTTTTTTCAGAATTATAACTTTAACTCTTGTATATTTCCTATAATAAAACCTTTAGAAGTATTATTTCATGTTTATAAATTTTTTTGTGAAGCAAATAGCAAAAAATTTAGCGAATAGGAGAGGTTTCTTAAATTCATTTTTATTTGGTCAAGTACAATACATGGGAAATTATTTCCATCAGAAAACTTGAATTTTATACAGTTGCACCCACAAAACAGTGCAATATAAAGACGACTTTAATTCAATTTTATGTTCATTCTATTTTGTGAAGGAGCAAATAGTTTTAGGAGTAACATGAAACACATTTTACTAATTGTACCTCCACACAATGGTTGCATTTTATGTTCATTAGACTGTTTAAAATTATAACTTAAGTCTGGCTGTCGTCTCTCTATTCCAAAATTGTATGAGTCTCACTGTATATTACATCTTTTCATCTACACGGCAGTTGAAAGAATAATGTAAAAAGAAAAACGACCTAAGATCAACCTAGAGTAGATTCCTGTGAAGATTAAAATGTTGAATAAAAAAGTTTTAGAGAAATCTTCAATTATTTTTAATTGAAGTAAACAGTTTGAGTTTGAACCTAGCCTGACATTGCATCAATACTTATCCGGTAAAACGTTTTGATTGGTATCGATAAACCTTTCAAACCAAACAAAAATACTTTCTCCATTTATTTTTGCAGAAAGTAATTCAGTATTTAATTTAATTATATTATGCCGCGACCGAAATCTATATATAAAGGAATTGAGTCTTTGTAACAAACTCTGCTTTTCTAAATCCTATATCTTTGGATTCCAATGTCGTAGACCTTAGATATTTCAAACTATAAATTCTGTAAGATCAAATAATAAAAGTTTGAAATATCAAAGATTTACGACATTGGATTCCAAAGATATAGGGATTATAAAATCAGAGTTTGTGGCAAAGACTCAATTCCTTTGGCTTGTCTGTTTGTTTGTCTGTCTGTCTGTCTGTTTGTATCCAATAAACGTCAAAACGGCTGAACCGATCGGACCCAAAATTTTTGTGGGACATCACGTGATCACAGGGAAGGTTTATGAATGATAAAAATTTTAAAAAATGTGTTTTAAAGGTTTTTAATTTTGCAAAAAAAAATTAAATTCTTGAAAATTTCAATTTTCAAAATTTTTTCAAAATTTTCAAAAATCCGCAAACATTTTTTCTTCTTTGTTTTTAAATGTAAACAAAAAGAACATGTTCACAATTTAAATAGAAGATGGGCGCGAAGCGCCCTAAAAGCCTAGAAAGAAGGGCGCAAAGCGCCTTGAATTTTTAGTATAAAATATTCTATTAAAGGGAAACTTAATTTCGTCAAATTCTCGATCAAGAGACAAAAAAATGCAGAAATTTTCAAAATTAAACACTTATATGCCCTGGGTGGCCTCTTTTTAATCTATGGTGAACATATCCTGAAACCCATATATTCCCAGCTGAGCTGGGGTAAAATTTTTACTGTTTTCTTATGGGTTTAAAAGTAAAATATCACCACAGCTGAGTACACCTTTCAATATTTGCGCATTTTTTGCTATGAAGTTCCCGCATTCTTTTATATGATCATCTTCCAGCATTAATATTTGGGATTTTCTTTAATATGTACTTTTTAAAAGTTTAAACTTTATATTAGATGTTATATAATTGACGTGCCATTTTTGTGTATTTATTTATTTTGATACTGTTAACATTTAAATTCATATTTCTTTATATTTCTTAATATTTTCCGGGAATAAAATTATCTTAAACCCTACTTGTCCAGGGTTCTCGACTTTTTTGATGAGATTGATGAGATCATCAAAAGAGTCTCGAACCCTCTTGAAAAGAAAAGTTTTTGGTTCAAATACTTTATACCTCGCCTCCCTTCAACCAGTAGGGTTATAAATACTTTATACCTCGCTTCCCTTCAACCAGTAGGGTTATAAATACTTTATACCTCGCCTCCCTTCAACCAGTAGGGTTATAAATATTTATTCTGAAGAGAAAAACGACGTTATCTTCAAGATATTTAATCAGGTTAAGGTTTCAACGGTACCGTTGTTAAACGGACATATGCGCCTTTAAGGAATTAAGGATTAAAGACATGTTTAAAGTTTGTCTTCTGGATAAAGTTCAGCAGCTGAATCCGATTAAATAATTCCCAGCACTGATTGTTTTATATATAACTATAAAGCAATAATCAGAACAGCTTCTCAGTTTTCATATTTATTATTCATATATATATCTTCTTGAAATAAGTCTAGAACATTTTCTATTGTTTATTAAGAATGGTTATATATACATATATATATATATATATAAATATACTTTATTGACTATTTAGAGAAAAAGTTGATAAAGCTGTTCAGTTTTTTTGTGTCCTGTTCTTTAGGAGTTTTTATTGTTTTAATAAAACTACAGAAGAATAGCGATAAATCATGAGAAAACTTCTGATCATGTCAGACACCTGATACATCAATAAATTAAAAGTTGTAAACCAAACCTCCCTTTATCTCTTTATCATAAAGACTTCCGTTCATGTATATATATGTCAGCTATAGCTGGCCAAACGGCTGGACCGAATGGGCTGACATTTTTTGAGGGAACCCATGGTAGCCCGGGAAGTAACATAGGTTTAAAAAAATTCTAAATATTTTTCTTTAAAAAATCGATTTTTTTTAATTAAAAAAAGATTTCCCACGGGCAACGCCGGGTACTTTGCTTCTCTCTTTGTTTGATTTGTGTGTTTGCAATAAACATCATGTATCCAGGGAAAGGTTTATGTACTTTTGCTGGGTAAAAATTTCGTCATTCTGGGTTCATCTGAGTTTGTCACATTGAAAGATTAGAATTAAAATATCCCGTAGAACTGATCAGTGATCATGTCGGCACTTTATTCAAAATATCTTTATAATAAGTTAAAGGAATTGAGTTTTTGCCACAAACTCTGATTTTCTAATTTCAATATTGTTGCAACCAAATGTCGTAGACCTTTAATATTTCAAACTATGAACGCTATTGGATCAAATAATGTAAGTTTGAAATATCAAAGCTTTACATCATAAGATTACAGAGATATAGGTTTTACAAAAACTGAATTTGTGGCAAAGACTCAATTCCTTTACATCTATGCCAATCAAGTAAAAACTAAAACTTTCTTCTGTATTTGTAAACCAATTCTCCTTGTATTTTTTAAACTTAACGGCACCTTCGTTCACGGAAATTTGCATTATACTTCCGATTGCTAACAGAACTATGCTCAGTCCTATACATGAACTAGGAAACCTTTAAACCTTTTTAAAACATTTTTACATCATTATATTATTAGAAGCGGCAGCGTTTTCAGATAGATCTTTTTTTGCTTTATAGGTGCTCTTAAAAAAATCTGAGATGTTCTTATATCATTACAACCTGATGTCGTAGACCTTTTATATGTACTCTGCTGGATGAAATAGTCAAAGTTTGTATGGGCATACACAGATATTTGTTCCGAGGGGAGACTTAAATTTTTTTCTTTCTTTCCAGGGGGGGNCAGAAACTTTTAATGTTTTTATACTTTTAAAAGGTTTTACGACACATGAGAAGTACAAAAAATTTAAACTTTATTCTGTAAAAGTTCTAATATATTTTTTATGCAAAAACGATCTTTTTGGTTCGTTTTTGCCTTATATTTTTACCTAGGATAATAAATTTGCATGTTTAATTAAAGCAAACTACAGAATACAATTTTAAATGGTTGGACGCTTCTCAGATTGTCGTGAAACCTTTAAAAGTCTAAAAATATTAAAAGTTTCTGTAAAACGAATCAAGCTATTGCCCATCGCTATTTGAGGCCTACAACATCCGATTGTAAAGAAATTCGGATTAGAGTTAAGTAATCAGTTTCTTAACTTGAAATTATTCTAGGTGAGCGCTGCACTTGATCATAATGTGGATAGTTTGTTGGTTGGTATAGTTAAACAAATTCATCTGAAACTATTCTCTCATCTACAGACCAAGCGCAGCAAAGGTCGTCTTTACACTAGGTAGACTTTTTTAAAATCATTTGTGGAGAATCGTTGAACTTACTTTTCTTTAACTTTATTTGAAGACCCTTCATAGATAGGACATTTCATGGACAGGACATTTCATAAATAGGACATTTCATAGATAGGAAATTTCATAGATAGGACATTTCATAGACAGGACATTTCATAGACAGGACATTTCAATAGACAGAACGTTTACAGACAGGGCGTTACGGAGGACATTTTATAGACAGGAAAATGTACAGACAGGGCATTTCACAGACAGGATATTTCACAAAGGACATTTCACACAGGACATTTCACACAAGATTTCACACAGGACATTTCACAGACGGGATATTTCACAGACAGGATATTTCACAGACAGGGCGTTTCGCAGGACATTGTACAGACAGGAGATTTCACACAGGACATTTCACACAGGACATTTCACACAGGACATTTCACACAGGACATTTCACAGACAGGATATTTCACAGACAGGGCGTTTCACAGGACATTTCATAGACAGGACATTTCACGCACAGAACATTTTGTAGACAGAAACAAGAAATTTCATAAATGAAAGTTTCTCAGGATTGCGTGAAATTTGACGTTAATGGATAATTTGTGCATTTATTACTATCCACACGAACCACTCTATTTTAAAGTTCAATTTTAGAATTAACATTTTACAAATTGTATTCTTATGGAGCAGGGTAGGACAGAGTTAAACAAGTTTTTGCAACTACTTAATATTAACCAATTCAAGTAATTCAGTCTAAAAATACCTTTTTCCAGGTTTACTAAAACTTTCCTCTTTGTCACATTATTTATTTAGAATTAAAGTGTATTAAATTATTTTGAAATGGTGTCTCTGAAAAAAGTGTGTTTAAAAGCTTTATATGCCTCCTTAACGTCGGTTATTGTTTCTGGTAGCTACAATATATCGGATTTTGGATAAAAAATTGAATACAAAAGTTTATTCAAAAATATGTGCTCTGTCTCTTTTCCGTGATTTTTCCAAACCCACAATAAATATCGGATCTGAGCAGCGTTTGTTTTGATAATCTGAACCTATAGTTTTATTTCAAACATAAAGCTAAAAGCTTTTAGTATTACTTAATATTTAAAAGATTTAAACCGCGTCCTTGAACCGCCAAAATCTCGAAACACTGAATACGATTTCAAGTGGAACCTGTCATGTTTGAGCCGCGTCTCAAATTTGAAACGCGGCTCAAATTCTTTAAATTCTTTTTTATTTATATAGATTACCTAATTCAGATGTTTTAATGTTTCTTTTTCCTGAAACTGAATTAAAAATAAACATGCAAAGATCTGAAATCTCTGTGTTTACTCCAAATCGTGTTTGAAAACTTGAATACACTCGTAATTTATTATATTTCACAAAGAACTGAGGTCAACACGCTTTTGCGGTAAATCCCGGGTTCAAACATTTATCCGTATTTTTACGTCTGAAGGATTAAATGAATTCCTCTTGTTTATTCTGTGGTTGGAACCATGTATGCAAGGGAGAAAGATATCTAAAATAGAAGGAGCAATTGCACATTTTTCTGAAAATTTTAGATCACCCCGTACTAACTAGAGTGAGTAGCATTTGGTTTCTCTTATTTGTAATCAAACGTGTCTTGGTCTATAATTCAAAAATCTTTAAACTTACAAAGGAATTGAGTCTTTG